AAGGACACTCACACATACATCAATTTATGCAAACAGATACACAATCACAAATATATGTATAAATTAAGGAATGCACGTCAGGACATGGTCTCCCGACAGCTTGCCTCTATGACGTGTTTGAAAAAATCACAAAAGCTTTTGACACATTGCATGTTACACAAAAATAACGCAAAAAGAGGGGAAAAAAGTATCTTTTACTGCCTGTTTTGTGTGAGTGTGTGTGTGTTTATGGATTTCTGCGTATCTGTGAGTGCGATTGTGTGCCTGTGCCTGTGCTTTCAGTGAGCAAAATCAACTGTGAATTGGGTCAAGGCCATGCAAACAGCTTTCAACTGGGCCAACAAAAAGTTTCATATTCACAAATAAATTTTACGGGAAAAATAATCTGAGTATACTAATCCACGTACGGGATTATACATTAAATGGGGTTTTAAGATCTTTTACTAACTCTGATTGTAATGAGAAGATTTCCTATCTTATAAGCTTAAGTAATAAATTCTAGCAATTCCAAAAGAATTCTAACTCGCTAAACATAAACATAAGCTGCATTTGTTGAAAGTCAAGTGGAACACTGTCATTTAAAATGTTTATATTATACCACTAATAGCATAAAAAGGAATAAAATCGTTATATTCCAGACTCAAGAAGACTCCAAGATCATAACGTCACCCCTTCTTAAGCAATAAAACCAACTCAAAAAGCATACGCAAATTAAAGTGGTTTTTCAAGCAACTTTCTGAGATTGTCCACCAATTATTATAGATGTAGAAATTCCCATTCGAAAATTCCAAAAACCTGATTCTTTTTATGCCAAAAAGAGCATCATTATCGTCATCACTCGACATTTTACACGGATGCAGCAGTACGAAATAATATTTCGAGAATAGCACACAACAAAATTGAGAAGAAAAACATCATCAGTAGAGCAGAGAAAAAAAAACCGAAATCAAAAGCCAAACGAGATGATAAACATTCACAGAGATATGAACATTAATATTATTGCTTCATTCTACGCTGCCACATCACCTCCTCCGTCCGTCTCTGCTCATCATCAAGTGAACAATGCTGATTAAAAGAGAAAAAGCAACTCACAATCTCACACATAGAAACAACACATTATTATTTAGCCGGCCTTGAACTTGAACGAACGACTGACTGACTGCCTCTCGGCCATTGTTTTTATGTTTATTTTATTTTTGTTGCTGTTTGCCGTTTGTTGCTATTGTTTTTGCTGATTAACAATTAACACAACGGGCATAGAAAGCGGATAAGCGAGTAAAAGAGAGGGTGCCGAGCGGAGGAACCAACGACAGTTTCGTGGATATTAAAATATAACAGACACCCCCTTTTATTTTAGATAGCTCACCCGGCTAACGAGCGAAACATAAAAAAAACTCATAAATTAATTGATCAAACAAGATTGTTGTAGAAAATATTGAATCGAAGAGCAAGGGGAAGAGAAAACAAGTCGTTGGATATTTCAAGAAATTAATTACTCCTAATACTAGACCAAGTTGGTTATTTTTGAATTCAAATATGGAAATTTTAAATCTCCATATTTTTTCAATTCTCTAGCGCTTCTTCAAACTAAAACTACCCATCAATCTTTTTTTAAAGTTCTTTAAAGATTTAAGGGGGAAATTTTAGGTTTTCAAAAAATATCAAGAGGCAATCTTTTTCAATCCCTTTAAAACGAGTACCTAATATTATACTTCTCTTTCCAAATTTGAAAAGTTATTTGAGATTTTGTTAACCGAAAACAGATGAGAAAACAATTTTTGAATAATCCCGAGAGTATAGTTTATATAGGTTTTCTGATAATTAACAGAAAGAAGTAACAAATCCAAAGAACTCATGAAGGAAAGCAAATTTATAAACACGTAATGCAGTGTATTCTATTTGCATATTTATATATATATTTTTTATAGTTCGAGAATGTGGTTTTTCTTTGGTGTATTTTTTTGTTGTAGTTTTTAATGTCTGTTTGGCAACGACGACGCTTTAAGCAATTTCGAGAAACAAACGCCAAACGCAATTAAATTAAAAATTAAAAAAAAAAATTATATAAACAATGTAAATTTAAGGAGTACGTACACACTTAGAATTAAATTGGAGGAGAAAGATTTGTAGAAAACGGGGATAAGAGTAACACTATAGCTTACCCATTTAACGCCATTTAAACTCTTTTTTTTGTTGGAAGAAAGTGATTGCACCTTTTTGGGCAGGATTTCCCCAAGCTTGTTGCTTGATTTTTTATACACATTACCTGGCAAGTTGCTGAAAATTTGTATATTTTTTTGTGGTTTTCTTGATTTTTTTTTGTTGTTGTGAGGAATGAAAGTTGATTTTGGGAATTTAGGATTTAAGGAGTCAGGGATTAAGATTGAGGAACGGTGGGGGGTATTCTTTTTGGAGGGCGCAACATAAAGAAAACTTAAAAATACAAAATTTACTTCATTTTGTATGGCACTCCGCCCAACCGATACCGTCGAGCGGAGCATACTCACCTGGGGATCGGGATGAGTCCGGCTGTTCGGTTGACGGATCGTGTCGGAATGCCCAAAGCTGCGATTGTACCTCGCCATCCTTACGGATTGGCTACGTGCTTTGTTCTTGTGGCAATGACGCGACTTGACCAAATCCTCCAGCTGATGAACCTCCTCCAGTGACCACGCGTTGCGCTCGCTTTTCTGCTCTGTCATCAGTTTGGGTTTCTTGTTACAATATCACTTGGCACTTGACTTGTTTAAAGTTTAGTTTTTTATAGTTGTTACTTTCAACTATTTCGAATTTTGAATGTCTTCAACGTTTAAAGACTTAGCCCGGAGCAACGCGCGCGACGTACTTTCAAACGGTAAACTTACATACTAACTTTAAAACTATCAACAAATACAAAAAGGAAAAATAAACAAAGAAAAAAAGTCCCGTCAACCAAAATAAAGCAAAATATATATATATGTGTATATATAGAGAGAGATATAGTATACTAAAGTACAATTTAAAACTGCATGCGTATTTCTCGTAATCATATATAATAATATAAATAATGTGTAAAATAAAATAAAACAACTGTGTATCAAAAATAAACATTAGCACGCGCTGAGAGTTCTAAAAACAGATTTTTGACAATCAAAATGGAACAGAAATGACAATCAATGGGTGTGAAAAATGTGAATATTTATGGGTATGATATGGTTTGTTTGTGTGCCTGTGTGTGTGTGGTGGGAGATGATTTTTTTTTAATTATGCAAACACAAAGTTTAAGTTAAATCCCGTTACTGTTTAAATTGCTAAAAAGTCAACTTTTGGCGCAACTGTACTGAGTGCTTTCATTTTCAGAGAAAGGGGTTGGGGGTAATACTTGTTGTAGTTGTGGTTCTTGCCAGAGCCCTGCAAACACACACACACACACTCTCTCGATGGAGACACGTTCACAAACAGCAGCTTAGAGAGAGAGTAAGAGCAATAGCGAGAGAAAGCAAGTGAAGGGGAGAGAGATCAACACAAACACTCGCACACATATTTGGGAATACACGCACAGAAAAGAATCTGTGTTTATACGTACACATTTTTATAAAAACTAACTTAAATGATAAGGCATTCTATCATTTCGTTGTTTCTTGTTTTAAATACTATTATTATTATAATTATTATTATACATCCTAATTTAAAGCTGCAGTGTATGTTTGTGTATGTGTTTGTGTGTGAAATATATATTTTTATGAATAATCATGAATTATGAATGCATTTTTCTTTGCTCTGCAGCTAACGGCTTAATGTTGGAAAGAGAGAGGGGCCAGAGAGTAGAGATAAAGACAGGGGGCAGTAGGATAAGAGACAGAGATAGATAGTGAGTGGGAATGTTTTTTAGGAATGGCTTTTTTTCAAACATTTACAGTGTAAATAAAGCAAATAATAGTTGTTAATTCAAACACCAATTGTAAAACAACAACAAATGATCATACATATAGAATCATACATATATATATTCAATAATAATAATGGTAAAATGAGGGGATGTTACGGGGGTTTTGTTGTGGGTGGTGGTTTTGTGGTTTTTATATAGCAATTATATATATGTATTATGTTTGTGTGTGAGTGAGTGGTATAAAATGTTTCTCATTTTGTGTGTTAAAAAATTAATAAGTATAATAAGTATATGTACAAAAAAAATAGGATTACTAGGAGTTATACGAATTAAACAAGTGTGTGTCATAATTAAAAAATGATTAGTCTCTTGGTTTTAAAAAATCATGTTAAGTAAAGAAAGATTTTTTGTTTTAAGTAAATACTTTTCAACTTGCACAAATTATTCTTGTTTCGGGTTAATTATTCTTCTGTTTTTTCTCTGTCGGAGTTGTCGTTATACAAAAAAAAAAAAAGAAAAAGAGAAGAAAACACTGCAGCAGCAAGTTTACCAGAAATCAGAGTCGTAAATTCCTCGCTCTTAAACATTAATTTTGCTGTTTTGTTTCTCGTTCTGTTTTGTTCTTTCTTTCTTTCTTTTTTTCGGCAACTCTTGTTCACAGAGATCTTGTTATTTTTGGTATTGTTTTGTATTTGTACTTTTTCTTGTTGCTTGCTTTTTTTCGTCTGCTGCTATCTTGTTGAAAATTATATTCGAAAAAGTTCTCTATTTAATGGTTCTTTTTTTTACTTTCAACGTTTAAGAGCTTTTTTTCGGAGCACGACATTTAAAACGTAAAAAAATCAAAATGTATATATTTATGTCGTTATTTTTTTTTTTTTTTTTTTTTGTGTGGAAAAAATGAAGTTGTGACCTTGATATTAACGTGGTTTCATTCTTTATATCTGCATTTGCATTTGAAATTTAAGCTTGTCATGGTTGTTGTCGTGCTCGCTGAGTTCGAAAAACATCTCTTCTTCTCTGTCTAATAAACTTCTAAGCTAAGCTGTACTTTTTGCTTTTTCATTTGTTCGTAGTAGCTCATATATATATATATTGTATATAATCGACTTTTGAGGCAACAAACACTCACCTTGGGGATCCCGTTGCTGCGCATCCTGTGCCATTAGTCCAAGTTCATCCTGAGATCTGTCGTGCTGCCATGCATATGCTATAAAGGAAGAGAGTAATATAAGTAAGTGAAAAGTTAAATAGTTATTTAAAATGCAATACTCACTTTGACTAGATCCTTCACCACCCTGGCTGGTGCCGGCCGTCTGGTCCAGCTCTTCCATTGTCATGTCCTCCTCGTCCAATGTCAAATCCTCAACGTTCTCATCGTGCGCATCATCGTCGTATTCGGCTTTGGGTTCAATCACCATTTCAGAGCCCACCGACGACACGCTATTGTCTTTGATCTTCTGTTGTTTATGATTCGACGACGATTTGTCCACAACGCTGGCCAGCTGCTTGACCACAACACCAGTGTGAACGGCGGCTGCAGAGGCGGAGGCGGAGGCAGGATTGGGACCACTGATGGCACTTGCACCGCCAACGGCGCTCGCCTCATCCATGTCCTCGTCATCACCTTCGACGCCGCCTTGGGCGCCGCCTTGGCTCTGGGCTTGTACATTCTCGGTATTAATGGCATCGCTTGTGGTCTGCGCCTGCTGCTGCTGGGCCTGCTGTTGTTGGGCGGTCACTGACGCAGCTGCTCCGCTCGCTGGTGCGGCTGTCGAGGATGTTAGTTTAGCGCTTTCAGTCTTTTTGGTAACGTTGGTGCTGGTCAATGGCTGCTGCTGGTTCGACGACGCTTGGCTGCTGGTTCCGGCTGCCGATCCACTGGACAGCTGGGTGCTGACCAAAGCGGAGACTGCGAGGCCAGCGCCTGTCTGCTGGAGGATTGACTGATTCGAGGCGACGGCTTGTAACACGGACGAGTTGGAGTTGTCGTGGGCATCTGAAAAACAAAAATAACGAAAATCAATAAAAACTTTAAAATTTATTTAAATGACGATTCAAGACAAAAGGTCTTGACAGGATTTTTGTTTTAATTACAATGTCATAAGATTGACAAGGAACTCACCATTTTCCATACTGCGACGTCTGACTTTCCGGCGACGACGCGAAGGACTCGAAGAGCCCTCGCGTGACCCAGATACATCACCAGACGCATCCATCGCACCGCCGGTGGCCAGGCGAGCGCGCTTCGTCTGCTCCAGTGTGTAGGCGCCACTAAGCTTGCCGCGATGATGCTGCTGCTGTGTGGACTCCGGCTTGGGTGCCGATCCGCCAGTGCGATTGTCCGACAAACCCTTGATCTGCAGCGACTCGGCGGCCTTGAGCAAAGCGGCCAGCTGATCCTGCGAGATATTGACCTCGCCGCGGTACATGTAGTCCATCATGGCGCGCAGCTCCTGGTACTTGACATCCTTGAGTATGAAGATGGGATGCTTGTCGTACTGTTCTTGAAGTAAGGTCTGTAATTGAAAGGAATTCGATTGAGCATTATAGAGGTTACACTTTTAGGGGATTTTCACGCTAGAAATACTCACAGCAAAGTAGGGACTGCATGCTGACAGCACCACCTTGTGGGCCTTGAGAAATTTGCCCTCGGCGGCTAGCGTGCAATCGACTAGAGTCTCATTCTCCAGCAACGTGTCGAACACGCTGATCAGTGTGCTCTGGTGGTTGTTCCACCGCAGGCAGAACTGCTGATCGTCATCCATTTTGGGGGCTTGGATCCGGGGTGGTTATTTAGGGGGGAAATGGGTGGGCCCACGTCCTTGACGTGGCTCGCTGTGCTCCCTCTCTCTGGTTAAGAGTTTTTTTCGCCACTCGCTCGCTGATTTTACAATTTGCAACTTAGGGAAGTACAGTGGGGTCTACAAAAACTTCTCGCCTTCTATTCTGCCTCTTATTCTTCTTTTCGGTTGTGTGTTTGTCAGCAGTTATGCTGTAAAGAGTGACGAAACAGAAAATAAAATTAGTTACGTTTCAACAAGAAAAAACTCGGAATAATACACATTATATGTCGGCAAGGTCAAGTTCATGTTTGTTTTCAGTATTCAGTACACGACGAATAAAGTATATATGCTTCTTAATCACTTTTACTTATAAATAAATTTATCGTTGTTTTAATATATAATAATTTGCATTTCAATGTAAAATTTAATCATATAAATTATCATTTCAAAACGCTCAAAATTTGTTCACTTAAGAGAGAGTGCCTTGAATATTTTTCATCTCTTTTGTACTTTTAAAATTTCACCTAGAATATTATTGTTTTGCATTCAAACACATACGCACGCATACACACTTGCAGTTAAAATGCAATTTTTGTTCTTGCTATTTTTCGAGCGAGTTTCTTGTTAATTTTTCAACTTTGCTCTTTCCAACGGAACTACACTCTCTCTATTTCTCTGAGAGAGCTAACGGATTTGTGTTACAGTTGCTTCTGTTTCTGCTTCCCGACTGCGTTTGTATCGGTGTGGAGATCGATGGATACGATAAAAGACGAAGAGACTTCGTGACGACCGAAAAAAAAAACGAAGCATGAAACATAAAGAGGGGAAGTTCGCAGTCGGCGTCGCTGCACACATATGCACACGTGCGTGTGTCTCGATTTTTTTCTTTCCTTCCTTCTCCGTTGTGGAAAATTTCACAAGTAGACACAGACGAATATTTATGATGATTTTCATTTTCCCCCTCGCTCATACGGACCTACAGAGACAAACACTAACACACTCGCTCACTGCTGGCTGATAATTTTTAAAGTTGAAGTGTGGAGCAATCGTTTCAGTTTTTTATGGTGTGTGCATTTAAAAATAGAACGTTTTTCATTAGAAGCAACCAACACATGTACACAAACAATATAGATATGGGCGCTATTTCACAATTTCTCTCCCGCTCGCTCTTTCATTCTATCGGCCGATTATGCTTCACTTCCACACCCATACAACCACACAAGCACACTTACTGTTGTAAATAATTAGCACTGCAAAGGTTGGTTTTTCTATTCTAGCTCCGTTTGCCGTAGGTGTAGCCGTAGTATATATGTATATATATGTTGCTGTGTATGTAATGTAGTCAGCAAACCGCACGCGTTGTTGTTTTCGCGATCTGCCGCCACAGCGCAGGAAAACCAAACAAAAGCTCCGAGAGCACGAAAGCAAATGAAACGACGCAAATGAACGGTAACTGAGCGACCCTCGCTCGAGCTGACGCCTCTGCTCTGCCTCGCTCCCCACTGCACGCTCTCGACGCGTTCGTTTGGGCTCTCTCGGCAATGGTCGCCCTGCAAACGAAGTTGCTGCATGAGGGAGAGGGAGAGCGGAGCGGCTGTCTGCCGTGTGGGCCAGAGCGAGAGGAACCGAGTGAGAGTTGTTCTCTCTCGCGTCTCGCCTTTGGGGGCACGTTATGAAATTGCCAAGTAGACAGAAAGAGAGAGAGCGAACAAAAGGGGCAGGTAGGCCGCAGCAGCGACTGCGACGTCGACAGAGGAAAAGGGAGCCCAAAGGAAAAAAGGAGAACTGCAGCAGCAACAATAATCGTGCCAAAGCGAAATAACGGGAAATACACACAAGGGCATGAAACGAGCACACATACATTTACAGGTAGCGAAAAATGGCCAGGAAAACATTCATGCGAAATGTTTTTTGGTTGCAAGTTTTATACACACACTTTTTATTAAACCAATTGAAGCTGGAGCATAGAAAACTACCATTTGGTTAAAGAGCCAGAGTGAGATGGATATACGCCGCTGACTACGTGACTAGAGGCTCAATTATTCACTCCCCTTGGTATTTTCCTGTTACTTTTCGCCAGATCCAGGAGAAAAAAGCGTAAGTGAAGGAGAGACAGAATCACCCCTAGGGAGTTCCGCCGTACCAAGACAAAGTACCGTTAGGCGGAGGGATCAGTTTTTCGAGATTTTGTTATACACACACACAGAGAGATGGTCCACATGGAAGGAAGGTGCAAGGCATGCGCACAAAATAGAAATCACAAAAGAGAAAACAACAACAACGGCTGCTGCTGCTGCTGCTGCTGCTGTTACCCCAACGTTGATGCGTCGGATGGGTTTTCCACAGACACCCAAACACACACACACGAGCACGTACATACAAATCCGGCAACAAAGAGAAGTAGGTAAAAACTGCAGAGGGAGGCAACAAAAAGGATCTCTCCCGCTCGCTCTCTCTTTGCATCTCCTTTTTGACGCGCGCTCTTTGCACATTGCAAGGTTTTATTTTTGCGCAGATGGTGGAGGATTATGAATTGGGATCCTGTGACGAAGCGACAGAGCAAGAGAGAACGACCGAGCGAGCGACCGAGTTAGTGTTTGTGTGTGTGCGGAAAAAGTACAGTTGGGCCCAAAGACGTGCACTTCTTTGGGGTTCGCTTTTCCCACCGAGAACCCAAAAGATGAAGCATACACGCCGATAAGGGGGATGGGTAATGAGTAATCGGTGATTAGAGGTTTTGTGCTGAGGTCTACTATCAAACGATGTCCAAAATATTTAGGTTTTACGGAACATTGTTAGCGAAAATCTCAACTGAATTTTCATGTGGCAACTGCATTCGGAAATGTTTTGGTCAGGAATAAAGCCAAAACACTATTTAAATCTGCTGTTGCAAATTGGAAATATGGTTGTATGATATCTTATAATTATTGAATTATAACTCTCCTTATAAAATAGTTTTGAAAATTTTGCATTATTTTACAAAATTATACTTGTGACTGTATGAAGTATCACTTTTATGGTAAATCTATTAATCAATATTTCTCACTATTTCTCTGCAAAATAACACATATAGTTGTCTCGTTCAAGGTTTTAATAAAGCCTCTGATTAATTAATATTTCATTAAAGTATCATATGTTCTTTATCAGTTTTGTGTTGAGGTCTACTATCAAACGATGTCCAAAATTTTTAGATTTGACGGAACATTGTTAGCGAAAATCTCAACTGTTTTTTTATCTGGCAACTACAATCGATTGTGTTTTGATTAAATATTTCCAAAACACTTTAAAAATTGATATTGCACGCTATGAGAATGGGTCAACATTTTCTGAAATGCTTATGAAATAATAATCATTTAACAATTCATGATTGAAGGTAAAGTAAGTTTAAGTAAAATCCTTTTAAATACATAAATTCTGTGTTGAAATCTACTATCAAACTACGTTCAAATCATCAAGTTTACGAAACGTTGTTAGCGAAAAATTCAAATATATTTTAGCAGCCGCAGCTTTTTACAAAAAATGTGTAAATTTTTCATAATTTTTCATAGGCGAGCTGCCCTTATGATCAATCTAAAAATACTTAAATTAAATATAAATTTTGTGTTGAGATCTACTATCAAACTACGTTTAAAATTTTCAATTTAGCAAACGCTGTTAGCGAAAAACTCAACTGCAAGTTCTTTTTAGCAGCCGCTTAATTATACGAAAATTGGATGGTTATCTTTCGTACTTGAGTAGAGCGAATTGCTGTTTTCCTATACATGATTACTAAAATACAATATATTAAGTATCCCTTTGTTATAAACTTGTTTTAAAATCACTCTAATCCAGGTTTCAGATTCGAGTGCCAGATGGAAATGAAAATGGGATGCATTGATAGGATGGGGAGCGGAGCGGATAATAAAGGATGTCCATGTCGATGTCGGTCCCCTTTTCCCGAAGCACGCGCCAGACGGTACGAAAACTAAGGTAACCCCGGGGAACTGGTTTAACGGGAAGGTAGGAGGAGGGAGGGCGAGGGTCCTGCAGACCTGGGTTTTTTTTGGGGTTGCAATCAACCCCTAAAAACTAAACAGATCCCCCCTCTCCATGTCCTGTTTCTCAACCTCCTCTCTCCCTCTTATTTTTTTTTTTGCCATACAGTCCTGACGGCAGATGTTGGATCACAACAACTGCCGCCGTCGTCCTTTTTCCTCTCTACAGGAAGTGGCAAAGTCTGGAAATTGGAAACGCAGCACACAAAGAGAATGGGCCCCCGAGTGAAAATTCCTGGCCAACGAAAAAGAGAAGGAGAGAGCTGAACTTGGAATATTAATGGGGCTGGTTTTCAGTTCTGAGTGCTTTGTTGTGCGTGTGTGTGTGTATGTGTGCAAAAAGTCAAAAGAAAAACCGGTTCCGCAGAAATACAAGAACTGTGCCATTTCGAAAACGAACACAAAATGGGAGGAAAAAATATAAAAATAAACACACGAAAAAAAAGAAAAAATGGATGGAGGAGCGGGTGGCCATCGTCAAGCTGCTGCTGCTGCTGCTGTTGGTTTAGAGATCCGAGATCCAAACCGATCCGATCCGATATATGATCGGCTGGCAGAAAAACCAGTTTCGAGAAACTTATTTCATTTCACATCGCAGCCAGAAAAGTCGCCATGACACACACACAGGCACACCACACATATTCAGAAAAACAAATTTAAAATGGAAATAACTTAAATAAGAAACCGAGGGAGAGAAGCCGACAGCCAAGAACAAGACAAGAACTTCCCCCACAAGATTTTTGCATAAAGTGGAATCTTTTTTCAGCTCATCTGTATGTGTGTGCTGTGAGACATAAAATTTGTATATTTACGACGTAAAAATAAACTCGACGACTCTCGCACTGACTTTCAATAATTTCATTTCTGGCAGCAGCTGAAAATGTTGCTGAATAGCACCGAACACAGCACTCAGCACAGCAACTCTCTCGACTCGAAGCCAAAAAAAAAAATTAAATACAAAAAACCACCTCTGAAAACCCACGTAGGCGTCCGTCGTCGCTCATTTATTTATTTTTACACCCTTTTTTCTGCTCGTCAAGTTGTTGTTTTCTTGCAAAAACAACAGGCTATAACCGTGTGTCGATTGAGAAAAGTTGAATCAAGTGTAAGGGAACGATCTCATGTGAAAAACAAGAAAGGAAGCTAACTTCGGTACGCCGAAGTTCATATACCCTTGCTCATTAATAATTAAAGCAATACAAATTATATATTTATGTTAAACAAAATATTTGCATAGAATCGGACAGGCGGACGGACATGGTTAGATCATATTATTATATATTTATATTTTCACTGCGTTGCAAACTTCTGACTAAAATTACAATACCCTGCAGGGGTATATTAACTACTAACAATCTGTGAGTCAGTGTAAATTACCCCAAAATATGATTTATAACAAACAGTTCGAGATTATAATTTCCCAGAAATCATCAAGTATTTTTCCAAAGTCGTCAGAGCTAAAACCAGTCTTAAGCAATTAGGAGCCTAGTAATTCAATGGATTTACTGCAAGTCAGACTACAACATATTTGTTGTATTGCTCATGGAAAATGTAAAAAAAGGGTATTAGTAGCAAGATCTTGAATATTATAAGTATCTTGATAGTTTTACATAAAACCAGTAGTTCTAGATAGTAAACAACAAATTACTGTCTTCGACCTTTTAATTAAAAGCTAATAACGACGACTTTGATGATTTCATTAACCTTATTTATGTATAAAAGCTCTCATAATTTTTTCAAAGTGCATTGAACATTTCGTTTTCCATTTTCATGCTTCTTTACCTTTCCTTTCCCCCATCATGTGTGTTCGGCCGCAGAAAATGTCGTTTTGCCATTAAAGCAGCGAAAAAAAAAATATATAAGAAGAAAAAACGTCAACCACAAAAACTTGTTTCTCGAAAAGCTATTTAAAGTGAATGTTAAGGGCTTGTTATGCGCGAGTGTATCTGTATCTGTAAAATGTGTCTGCGGATCGCCAGTGTGGGAGCGGCGGAGGAAGTCGCTGCTTTGAGGTTAAATCTATCTATTTAGCGGGCCTCCAAATTCAGATTCTGAATCGCTCTTTTCGTTTTTTGTTTGCCAGATTTTTTGGGCATGCTGTAACCGTGAACTCTGGACAAAAAACCTGTGGGTTTTTCCGCCATTTTGTAGTAAGGTGCCATAAACGTTTTTGGCATTTTTCCAGTTGAAATAGTTTAATGATTTTGATTTAATTAAAAAAGTTTACATGGTGGGCTTAAGGAAATTGGATTTCAAGTAACCGAATTCTTTTTATTACAGCATAATATTAATAGCATCTAATTACTCTTCGTATTTGGTAATAAAAATATCAAATATAATTATATTGATTGTACGTTTTTTTTTTTTTTTTTTTTTAATTTATTAAATTGCCGCCAACTGGTAGTGAAAGTGAACAAACTAAGCCACCAAAAATAATCAACAATAAACGGCAAAATAAAAACGCACACACACACAGTTCAATGAACTTTTTTGCGCTAATGGCCAAAGCGAAAAGGTAAATAATAAAAACTAACAAAAAAAATATACGAAAAAAAAGTCGAACAAAGAGCAGGCGGCGATAACGGGTAGCACAGGCCCAATAAGGTTCACCTTGCTCATTATTCTCCCTCCCCTTTCCCTATCTAATTCGTTATTTTCTTTACTTTTTATACAAATTTCTTGTTTACTATGCAATTACAAGAGGAACATTGGAGAAGAGGCACAAAGAATAGCGCAAAAAAGGTGCGACAATTTTTTTTTGGCACGCGTGTTGTAGGTCAGAAATCATCTGCAAGGTCATTTGGTGTTTTAAAATCAGATGACTCGAGAAATAAGTGCGAAACGCGAAATGGTAAACAAAGCATTAAAGCAACCGAAAAGCAATCCGTTTCTGCCTTTTCGACACTTTTATTCTTTGTCGCCCCTTCTATTTCGCATTTTCTACACTTGTTGCGCAAAAGCTTTAATTTTTTTTTTGTGTAAGCGAGATATTCTTTATATTATTGTTATTATTCTGCACATGTGCGTGGAATGTAAACAAATGAAACTTTTTGTCGAAAAGTTTTTGCAGTTTTTTCGGCAACGTTGCGACTGCTGCTCGATAATACATCAAAAGATTAAGGCGCGAGAGAGACGAAAATATGAAAAATGAAAATGTAAACGTGTCTCTAGAGCAGACAGAAAAATAAAAACAACAATAACAGCCAAGTAGAAGTGTAGCACAAAGTGGAAACAGAAAAATATGTGGCGGGCGAAAGAGAAGGGGATGCGAGAGAGCGAGCGCAAACTTGACGACCCTCTCTCGAGTTCGGACTCTCTATCCGCCGCCACTCTTTCCATGTGTGTGTGAAAAGTGCAGAGAAAATTTCACGCTTGTTTTTTGTTGTTCTTTTTTTCGTTGTTCGAACAAACATAAAAACGAAAATCAAGCGAGAGGGAGTAAAAGAGAGAGAAAGAGAGCGCACATATTTTTATGTCGACTCGTTGGGGGGAAAACCAAGATGGCGGCCACCGAGACATTCGGGAATCTAGCAAAGTGAAAAACGTGCTTTTTTCTAGGAGTTCGCAAACAGCAATCGTTGATTTTTTAACTGTTTTGTATCCAGAAGCCCTTTGTTTATTATTTCAATTTTACACAAGCTTTCAGGTACCACCTGCCTCTCCGCAATTAGTAAAAAAGCTTATGTAACACACACTCACTCACACACGCAGGCGGAAAACACACATTTCCCCACTGCAACACTTGACCTCATTTGCATGGAAAGTGAGCCAGTGTCCGTGTATGTGTGCCTCTGAAAATTAATGAAAATCGCCCGTCATTTACTTAAGCGTTGCATTTTCCGAGAAAGCTCTCTTCGCTCTTTCTCCCGCTCTCTCCACATACATATGTATATTTCGTCGTCGTTGGTGAAAAGCTTTCTCCGCAATGGAAAAATCGATGGAAACACCACTGGAAATATTGATTTGATATGCAAAAACACGCACACACTCACACGCTCAAGCACACGGAGATAATTGCCAAGAACAGTTCAAGGCAGTGTGATATTCATTATGTTTTTCAGTGTTATTTGTACCATATTTTGTTCTTAATCTTTTCATATTGTATTTTGTATTTCTATTAATTTTTATACACACCGAAATAGAATCACAGGCAGCACGTAGTCAGTCGTCAACAAACTTTGCACATATCAAATTTTGGTGTTGCTTTTCCAATACACACACACGCTTGCACGATAACGCGACGGGAAAAGCAATAAAGTTGAATTTATTTTTACTGCATGTGGGGATGTGGCCGTGTATGTGTTTGTATTTTCCTTTTCCGCTGCTTTGGGGAGCAGAAAGAAAAAGAGTAGGCAGCGACAGCAACGCACCACACTGAAAATGTCGTACGCGGAGCCACTGAAGAAAAACTGACGACTGAAAAAGCGGAGAGTACCCACATATATAGATTCTTAGCATCCAACTACGACTCTTCAAACATGTTCGACGAACAACACCACATGCCATGCTCGCTCCTCGGCCTCGCGAACAGCAATCTAAGCTTGTGCCGAAGTTTGTACATTTGTATTTATGTATGTATGTATTTAAAATTTATTTTGTAGAATGTTTTAATTTTGTTAGCTTAAAATAAAAATTTAAATAACATAAATAATACAAATGATTTAAATGATTTTAAAGCCGTTTGGTTTGTCATATTTATGTGTGCAATTCACTTACATTGTCTGCCTATGGAATCGCAATTTAACAGAATATTACCTATGGTATTGTTAACAGAATTTTGCCACTGAAGAAAAACTGACTGAAAGGGCGAAAAAGCAGAGAGTGCCCATAGAGGACAATTCTCACGCTCTCTTCATACATGTTCGACGAACAACACCGAAAGCAAAACCGAGCGAGTGCGAGTATGAGTGCGAGTTCGAAAATGAGTTGACGTCGTCGTCCGTTTGTCTCTCCCTCTTCTTCTGTGTGTTTGCAAGTGTGCTTTATATGTTTGCCGTGCAGAGTTGCCAACCAAACAGATCTACAAAAATATGATTAAAGTACCAATTATACAAAACAAACTTTTAATAATGGTTATCGTACAACAACTCGTTGGAATACCTTAAAAGTATTTTCGATTTAACAATAAAGATCTTAAATTCACATATGTATGCGTAATCATTTTATGAATAATTTTATAAGATAAACCATTTTGACCATTAATAAAATTTGAAGTTTTGAAATAGATTATATATGCAAATGACAGCAGGTTGGCAACTCTGTTTCTATGTGGTGGAGTTCGAAAATATCATTCGCAGTCCCTACAGTTGTTGTTGCTTTTTTGTGTGTGTTTCCCACTAAAGGGGCGAGATTTTGTTGTTGGCATAGCGAAGCCATAATGTTCGCCAAAGCCGAATGGTAGAAATTACCGTTGCCGAGCGCAATCTCTCACTCTCACGCTCCCTTTCTCCCTCTTGCTCACACTCTCTTTTTCTCTGTAGCTCACTGCCTGCAGCTCTCCCGCTCTCGCGTTGCACTTGAATGTGTGTCCGAGTGCGAGGGCAATAGTTTTGTATGCAATGCATTTTCTACTAAAAAGCGCCAATTATATTTTGCTTTTATGATCGGCCTCCGGCCGCCGTTGATTTATTTTTGGCTTCCAGCATGACTTCATCGCCTCGCGTTTTCCGCACTCTCTCTAATCTCTAATTTTGTAAAAATTATGCACCTTATATGTATGTACATATGTACATACCTTAATTCTTAACGGTTTTCGGCACTGGAGAATTAACATTTCTGTGCGAAATTCTACACGCCAAATGCTAATTGATCGAGTGGAGACAATTCTAGGAGTGCCCGCCCCTGTGCGAACATAAATTCTACAGATCTTTGGACCCCTAAACAGATGTAGAGATATACATAGCTAGATAATGTGCTACATAACATCACGTCGTTTGACAATCGCTCACCTGAATTTTCACTGGAGTTTTCATTGCAACTCGGTCACGTAGCGCCCCTCTCGCCGTCTCTCTCATTCACGCGCAGGAGCGGGGGGCAGCAAACACTCACATATACGCACAAACACTAACGCGAATTATTATCTATGGTGAACTTTAATTATTATAATTTATAGTTGTACACTTCCCTCCTACACACTCAACACAAAAAGCTATTGTTTCACTTAGTTTTTACTCAAAATATATTTTATGTAATGCGCGCAGCTAAAAATCGTTTAATTTTTTGTTTTTGTGTGGGTGGGTAACGAAAATTTAACGAGCGGAGCGACGACGATTTTATTCCTGAGAGTTGCCGTTTGTTTCTGAAAAATCGCTGCAAAAAAGTTTTGCGCGAGGCGCAAAGAATAAAAGTCGAAAAAAAACTGAGCTTGTGTGTGTGTGTGTAAGCACGAAGTTTCTGCTTTTGTTGTTCTTTCTGCTGCATTCGAAAACCGAAGATCGCTCGTGCGCTAGACGCAGTTAGTGCGAGCGAGACGGGGTCGGACGACGATACAGTTGATTGCTTTTTGCAACTGTCCGGTTGGAAAAGGGGCAGTCGGATGGAGAAGAGAGGCAGAGCGAGTTGAGAAGGAAGCAATGGGGAAAGGAAGTCGTGCTAAATGAAAAGGCAAAGAAAATGTTTCTATCGGCAGGCACATAAATGATTTACTTATTTATATTTATTTATGGTTTTACATATTTAAAGGGGTATACATATTCACATATGTGCCGATATTTGATCAAAAACGCTTTGGAGATCATAAACGTTTTTTAAGATTCCTAAAATATGGGATAAATACAAATTTTTTACAACAACATTTTAGAATCAAAATTTTGAAAAATTAATTTACAATTAATTTCAATTTAATTTTGTAATCAGCGAGAATTTTGAACACTGTTTTATTAATTTAGTGACCTTGAGGTGTTAGGTTACCAACAAAAATTTATCATTTTATAATGTTTTAACTAAAAAAAGTAGCTTTAATGTTTTTTGTACATACTAATAACTCCCAGATTTATTTTTAAACGCTTCCCTATACATACATACTTTTTATTCAATAGAACCTTGCACAAAAAAGATGATCAAATCATACATCTTTCATATTCATTTAAAAATAATGACAAGCCATGTTTTTGGAATTAAAAATAAGAAAGTATATTTAATTAATGCTAAGGAACATAATTCATCAGATACCTGTGTCTCTTGTGATTAGTAAATAAATATTTTTAGCGTGGCAATTAAAATTCCCGGTCGGGGAAGTGGAAAGGTGTCGGGAAAGATTAAACTTTCAATTTATGGTTCCACTCTTTTCATTTTTTTCGCATTTAACTTTTTTGCATATCTGTTTGTTTTTGCCAATTGCTACTTTCTAATAAAATCGTCAATGTACAAGCATACCTGCAAACAAAGTGAACACAAAGAGTAAATTCGTATAAATCTTTGACCATTTTTTTGTCTGTCTTGCATTAGCAATTGCCAGAAACTTGATTTTGATGCTTAAATATAAATGATTACCCGATTTGAGCAAATATAGTATATAAAAAAGTCAGCACAAGACCATAATTACACAAGAAACAAGAACAACAATAATGCTGCTGCACACAAAGAAATAGGATCAAAACACATTGCTGAATATATGAATCAGATTATTAGATGGTACTATCATTATTAAATTTTTGTTGTTTCTTAAAGTCGTTTTCTAAAAATGATTGAGTTTTTTCTTGTTTAATATCGTTTTAAATATTTCTTTTCACTTTGCAAATTGTGAAATGATCTTCAGAACAAGTAATAGTTGGATAATATTTTTATTTTAAACTATTTAGGTCAATAATTATTATTAAAAATAATAAAATAATATTTTTATTATAAACTATTATTTAATTTTCATTACTAAAGCATATGTATACAAAAATTTAAAAACGATTTTACGAACGATCGTGACTTTCTCGCAGTGTTCCCACTACGCTATCTCTGTCGACGCCGACGCCCGCGCAGGAGCTTAAAAAAAAGCTGCGCTCTCAAAGAAATTAACAATAAAAGTTGGAAATTTTTTCAACGCTTTTTTTCGGCGCTCGCATGACGAAGAAAATATTTTGCCGAAAGCGGGAAGAAAGAAGAGGAAGAAGAAAGAAGTGGCAGAAGAAGCAGAGTTTCAAAACCCGTTTGGCATTCGAAATTTGTGAGTGTGCGTCTGTGTGTTTTTGTATTTTTGGCAAGACTTTGGCTTTTGTTGTTATTCCGCTGGCAAAGTGAAAATTTATGCCGCACCCCGCTTGAAAACAGCAACAACAACAAAGTTTGGAGTTCGTGATTTCACACAACATACACACACACGCACACATGGAAACACACACGAAAAATTCCAATCCATTTCAAAGCCCCACCAACAAATAAACAAAAGTCAATATGTAATTGAATTTTTCCCCCGTCTCCGTCGAGCACATTTTTGTGGCTTTTCTTTCCACATATGTACTTCGTATTATGTTCGTGTATGTTTACATATGTGTGTGTAGTTGCTATTTTTGATTTCCATTATAATTTCGCGCCGCTCTTTTCACAGCTCCCAATTCCAATCCCAATCCAATCCCAATTCCAATCCCAATTCCAAGGTTTGAGCTTCGCTTCGTTTTCATTTCGAACTCGAAACAGAATTAGCATCTCTCTCTCTCTGTCTGCTGCTCGCGACAGCTCTCATTTACTCTCTTTTTAGCAATTTTCATGTGTGTGTTTGCAATGGAAAGGCGCAGGTTTTCATTGAGAGGGGCTTTTGTGATCTCAAGGGGGCTTTTATCTTGGGAAAATTGAAGTAATGAATAAATAATAATTTGTTATATTTGTAAGCAGATCGAAATAACATAATTAAGTATACAATTTTTTATAACTATTTTTATATTGGTTTTTCCACATTTTCATTTATTAGCTTTAACAACATCACAAAATAAACAAAAACTAAAGTCTTAAAAAAAATGAAAATATAAAGATACACAAAAATATAAAAATGTTAAAATATGTATATAATTCTATAGTACTTTAATCTATAACAAGAAGGAAAAGTAACATCGGGAAGCCGAGGCTTATATACCCTTCCAGTTTGCAATCTATGAGATATTTTATGACATTTTTTTTAAACAAAGTTTAAGAATCTCAAACCGAAGTCAAAAAAGCATTAAAATTCGGAAAGCTTTCGTATGTTAATTTTAATAATGTTAACAAATCTGCATACTACATTAAAATTTTAAAAAGTATAAAAGTTTTGACCAATAACAACAAAGTAACAACCAAATTGTTATACCCTGCAAGGGTATAAATAGCCCCCTACTGTATACGCCACTGATTTTTTTGAGTGATTGATGGCCCTGGCTTTTCAAAGAATGCTCGCTCTCAATCGAAAGAAACCCCTTTTAACCTCCCCCCTTCGACAGCTTCCCCCTTTTTCCGGAACCCCCTCTAAAGAAAAAAATGAAGAGAACACAGAAATTGGAGGCTGCCAAAAAATATTTGTTGTTAATGGAACTTTCTGGTTTTCTTTCGCTGGCAAAAATTTAAATTCTTTTCTTCTTTTGCTCATTACTTTTTGGGTCACACAGCAAAACAAAGATGATGAGCGAGAAAGATAGAGATAGTGAGAGAGACAGAGGGAGGGAGAGGAGGAAAGAGAAGGGTACATAACATAAAATTGGTAACAAAAGCGAGTTAATCCGAGTGAAGGGAAAGAGAGCTGTGGACGGCCGGTCAACTCCCCCTCGCAACATCATCGTCATTATCAGATTTGCCAACTGCGCACAATTTCTATTTCCATTTTCCCGATCCGCCCAAGATTATCGATTTTCCAGCCCTGCTTTGTACACACACGAGGAATCTGGATTATTCGGGAAATGAAGCTTTCAAGACCCCTGGACAGATGATGTTTCCATGACAGCCGTCTCATAATCCTAACTGATGCTGATAATAATTACCAGGGATTAACTCTAAGAAATATGAAGCTGTAATATGTTGAGTGTATAAATGAATGATAATAAGAACTTGTTATTTGTCTACTAAACTTATTATACTTACTACCTCAAGGTATAATCAGCTGATTTAGTTCACATAAATTATATTAAAACGCCGTTATGATAGAAACATTATGTTAAAAGTTGCATTACATTTTGTGACTAACTGAAGATATAAATATAATTTTTTGTTAGTAACTTCCCAAAATTAGAAAACATCTTTCCCCACTATTTCTTTTCCCCACTATTTTAATAAAATAAATATTCGATAGAAAAAACACTTTGATGATAAGACTTGTTTGGACCTAGAAAGGTTATCTGGTTTTAAATTAAAATACTTAAAGGTTGATTAATTAGACTTGACAACAATTTTTCTATAATTATAGACATAATTTTTTAATTAGTCTTCTATTATGTATATATTTAAATATATGTACATATATGTAAATATGAACAAATATGAAAATTTGTATAAAAATTTGTTGAGATGGATGTACAATAAGTGGAAATCAGCTATGCCTTACATAAATAAGTTTTTAAGAAGTTTTTGTTGCATAAAATAAATTATTTTAAATAAATAAATAAATAAATACTAAAATAATCTATATTTATAACTTTTTTCTGCACTGTGATCACTGTGGTTTGCCGTGTCACGTAGTGACGATTGCAAAGTTTTCTAAACTGAGTCGAAAAATATCTAGCCTTAAAACTAAATACTAGCTTTCAGAATTATAACCTATTCAATTATTTGTAATTTACTTTTTGATACTGTTACTATTGATCACAATATTTTATGTAGGTTCCATCGTCACTTTTATTTTAGCTAGTTAAGAGGAGTTTTAGTTTTGTTACTAAAATATATAAAAGTAATAGCCAAAAGTTCCCTTTACACACACATTATAGGCCCGAGAGTAATAAGGTCCTTGGAAACACACTAATACCGCCCGAGTTCTAGCAGCAAGGACACACCGTGAGGGGTGGTAGGAGGGGGTCAGCCACACAGATGCCCTGAGGGGTGGAGTAGGTCCAGGAGGGTGGTGATGTTCGGGTGTCTGGCAACGACAGGCATTACAAATAAGGCTTACACAGTGGGAAAAATGGGACACAAAAAAATACTTTTATATTAAAATATAGAATGTTGATTTTTGTTTTAGGGAGAAAGTTAGCTTAAGTATTTTGTATTTAACAGAATATTTATATGTGGAATTGTACATAAACGCACTTAATCTTTGAGTCATGAACACAAATAAAAAAGCTTAGTCTATATAAATTGAGGAGACAATGTCACCACCTTTCTGTTTTATAATATTTCCCCAGTGTAGGCCTCAGGTCTCA